TTGTAACAGCCCTGCAGTTGGCTTCGGCGTGCCAGAGAATACCTAATCCACCTAACCGGACCTGAAGAAACGGAAAGGAGCGCGACTGGGATTAGACGGGCTAGCCTTATGAAGCTCTCTACTGACATACAATATAGCATGGTTGCAGCAACCTTATATTTCACCTATTTGTCCCTAAAGATCACTAATTTACACCCGACACCCTAGGTAGGATAATGTCATCGCAAATAACAACAATTCCCGTTGAATACATAGTGCGAAAAATGCTCTTGAATTACCCCAAACCGTCTCATCACAACCTACGCCTCGGTCAGCGTGGCCCGACCGATCGTTTTCGGCATCTTTTTATTGGTGGAATCCTCGAGCTCCTTCGGTTTGTAGTAATGCGGTGCCGCCTCCAGCAGCCACTTGCTTTCGATTTCAATCACCGACCGCATGTACTCCTTCGTCGTAAACACCAGCTCGTGGTACAGCACCCAACGAGGCAGTTCTTCGAACAGTGCCGAATTCGGATGGATCATCACCGTCTGATTGTGCTTGGCCGTTTTGTAGTGACCCCCCCTTGGAGAGCCGAGCGACGTGATAAAAGTACCCGGCTGTAATAGCCTTCCGGATGTTGGTCGTTTCCGGCAGACTGGAAACCATTTCGATTTCGACTCGCTGCATTAACCCAACCAGCTGCTCCCGGACATCGCGAGCTCGTTTCATCGAACGGAACTGAATGAAATTTTCGTAACACCACTGAGTGCTGTAGTCCGATTCGGCCCATTGATTGTAGACCTGCAGCAAACTCAAGTGGTCCCCGTGCATGTGGTTGAAGTTCTTCCGGGCCGTATCTGCGTGGATGATTTTATCTTTCGGTCGGTAGAAGATGGCTCCATTCACCGATAGCATTGCAGCGATGGCCACCACCTCCTCGGAACATTTGTACTTTTCACTAGCAAGCAGCATTTTTGCCATCATGGGATCGACCGGAAATTCCGCCATCCGTCGTCCAAGTTTGGTCAGTTCACCGTGGTGATTCAATGCCCCTAGGGCGTAAAGTTGCTCCAATGCCAAAACCAACGTTTCATGTGGTGGAGGATCGAGGAAATCGAAATGAAGCAAATCGTTGATTCCAAGAGCTTTGAGCATTAGCACGGCATTGCCCAGGTTTATGCGCTGAATTTCCGGGACGGTGTTGTCTTCCAGCTCGTGTTTGTATGCCCAGGCTGTGTACAGACGAAAGCACTTGCCAGGGGCAACGCGCCCTGCTCGACCTGCACGTTGATTGACAGACGCTTTCGAAATGGGCACGACCATCAGGGTCTCCATCCCGGTTCTGGAGTTAAAATTATTTTGCTTTGCAAAGCCCGGATCGATCACGTACATTATGTTATCGATGGTTAGTGATGTCTCGGCGATGTTGGTGGCCAGTACGACTTTCCGGGCGTTCGGTGGAGTTGGATCGAAAATTTTCGCCTGCATGACCGAAGGCAGATTGGCATAAATGGGAAGGATGAGTAGTTCCTTGAGTTTGGAACCCAACCGCTTGACGCGATCCTGGAGCATCTCCTGGCAGGCTTCGATTTCCTCTTGTCCTGGAACGAAAAAAAAAATGTAATTTTTTAACATCGCATAGAAATAGACCCACTTACCAGTTAAAAATACAAGAATGTCTCCAAGAGGCTGAGTGGCATGAATCTGTAGAACCGACACCACACATGCATCGATATAATCTGCTTCCGGTGCTTTGGTGTAGAAGAAATCAACCTAGAAGAGAAAAAGTTAGATTTTACAGCAAAACACAAAGCAAGTCAAATCTAACTACGTACCGGAAAACGACGACCAGGAATACGGAATATGTTCGCATCATCGAAGAAATCCGAAAACTTTTCCGCATCCAACGTGGCACTGGAAATCAGTAGTTTCAAATCCAACCGAAACCGCGCAATGTCCTTCACCAATCCAAACAGAATGTCCGTGTGCAACGTACGCTCGTGAGCTTCATCGATAATCATCACACTATACGAAGCTAGGTCCGGTTCCGAAAGAAACTCCCTGTGCAACGTACCATCTGTCATGTATTTAATGACAGTCCGCTCGGATGTGCAATCCTCGAAACGAATACTATAACCAACTTCGTTGCCCAACTTGACGCCCATTTCCTGTGCAACACGTGCCACCACGGACATCGCTGCCACGCGACGAGGCTGAGTACATCCAATCTTCTTGCCGTCGTTTGTAAACCCAGCTTCATAGAGATACTGTGGAATCTGTGTCGTTTTTCCCGAACCCGTTTCTCCTTCGATAATAAGAATCTGGTGTTCTTTTATAGCGGCTATGAGATCCTCCTTGAATGGAAAAACTGGAAGTGATTTCTTCGTTTCCTCAATGTCCATCTTCTTCCTTTCCGCCTCAGATACCGGTGCTTTCCGGTCCTTTTCTTTAGTTCCATCCAGTCGGAGTGCCTGGACGAAATCAATCTGATCATCCAACAGCAGTTCATACTCTTCAGCACCAGCACCACTTGCGAACCTCTTCGTTTTTGAAAGTAAATTTCACGCACAGTCTGACGTTTGCTTACGGATTTTACCATAGGAGTAAAGAGCTATAGATTCGCCGTCAAGGCCAATAGCATCAACTAAGCTAGTACATATGAGTAGATAGTGTTGCCGTGAGGTACACTGAAAAATTGAAATAGCAGTTTAGTCACCAAAGTTTTCGAGCCGCTCCGTCTGTCACTTCGTTTGTGGTTCTACCGGCACTCGTGGAGAATAGACGAACTAAGAAAGTGATTATGGTTTCAAATTTTTCCACGGAGAGCTATACGAGTGCAATCTTAAAATGCTTTTATTTTGAAAATGGAGCATTGTATTTAAATCTGGCTGTTGCTATTTACACTTGTAGAAAAGCTAAAATCTATGCATACACCTAAAAATCTGAAATACACCTAAAAATCTGAATAGTTCTTCTATTCTCCACGAGTGCCAACTTTGATTTGCCAATTGGCAAATCAAAGTTGACACTCGTGGAGAATAGAAGAACTATGAAAGTGATGATGGTTTCAAAATTTTACACGGTGAGGTATACGAGTACAATCTTAAAATGCTTCTATTTTGCAAATGGAGCATTTTATTTAAATCTGGTTAATGCTACGTTAGTAGAAAACATAAGGACTACTCAATAAACATATAATACAGAAAACTTAAAACTATTTTTACGAATAACAGTCATTTGAATTTTAACCGAGTCAGTAATCCAAAAATCCAGTAAAAATACTAACTCCTGTAAAAAATCTAAGTGTGTATACAGATGCAGCGGAGCATCACACTCCTCCATCGGAACAGCACCGCAGCTGAGCTGCTCTGCGAATGCTATGAAATAAAAGGGACATCGACTTATTACCACTACCTACATCTCTCCCTTCCGCTCTCAGAATTCGCAGATTCGGTGTCTCTCGTTGTGTTTTCTGCTGAGACTGAGCAATATTCGATACCGCGAAACATCTCCGCAGTTATGTTTTCTTTCGGCGCAGGAGATGTGCGGTAATCAAAAATTAAGAATGTAGCTAAACATTTACAATAACATTCTACCAAATTTTCATGTGCGTAGTCCACTGCAACAGCCGAACGTACGAACGAATAGGGTGACTATAGCGCATTTTATGAAAACGTCACAAGTTTTTATGGCTGTTTTAAATCAATAATTACTAAGAAAACATAAAGCCTACAAGGTTACTACCAAAGGCACAAATCTAGGGAACTGCATGGAAAATGTTTTGTAGAGCAACTAAATAAACAGAAATGAAAATTTTCAACTTAAAAACACTAAAATGTATGAAATTTCACCAGTTTTTTTGGTACTTTCAACATACTTTTCAATTTTAATGTATGGTAATTAACTTTAATCTAGTTCTTTTTCAAAGAGCATTGATAGCTAAGACTTAAATCTTTAATTTGGTATGTTGAAATCAGAAATCCACATTAAAATTATTTATTTGTTATTTGAAATTAGCATCTTCAACTATGTAAATCGTTGACTTCACGTAGAAGTAATAGAAAAAACATATAGTCAATGAACAATATTCTATTATTAAGCCAACAATAGTTAATTTTAATTTAGCATTTATTTGCTGTGTCCATTCCCCAGGCCATGAATGCAAAAATAACTACCAACCGCTCCCTCGTTTTCACCCGGACAAAAATGTAAACAATAACAAAACTTTTCTCGTTTGATTTAGCTTTTTTTCCGCGTTCCGTATTTCAGGAAATAAGTGCAAGATTTCCGAAAATCTTGAGACTTGAGGTAGGTAAGTATGCTGCAGTTCGAGCTGCAGTTGCTAAATAAATTTTTCTGTTTTTTCCTTGATTTTTTTCCGTCGAGTACCAATGATCCCGACGCCAGGAAGACATCTCCCACACCTGGACCCTACATATCGACCCATCAACTCATGAACCGGAGACCAACGGCTTTACTTCTTTTCCGAAGGAAGGCGTGATCAGTGATTTTATGCCTCAGAAAGTCAATTGTCAATTCTGTTTGTTGCAAAAAGAAAACAAAACATAAAAAAAAATCGACATTATTTATGAATCAATAAAAATATTTTTATTTCTACTGCGTGAATTGTCAAACTTCATAAAATAAATTTGATTGAATCAACAAGAAATCTCTTTTATCATTTATTTTATTAACAAACATATTTTTGTTGTAGACCCAGCTGCCAAATTTAACAGCTTACGTCAAAAGCTCTTGTCAATTCGAAAAGATTTTATTTTTGATTTAACAATCCATGGGTTTTAAGGAACAACAATACTGGATTGTTGAAACAATAATGATTTCATTCTGCAGCCAAAACAAAATGAAATTCTTATTGATTTTACGTCAAATATTATTGCGTTTAAAATATTTTATTGTGCGTGAAAAAGGCTAACCCCGAAGTACCTGCTCCAGCCTCCTCCTCCACGAAGGAAACAACCGTAGGAACCGAAACCCCAAAAAGTCCAGGCATCGCAGCGACGATGCTGGCATTTCTGTAAGTAATTTTTAATTTACCTTATCTCATTTACCTAGTGATTATTGAAATTAATTTTTTTAAAGTGATTATTGAACAAATTAAAAAAAAAGTGACTTCTGAAATTAATCTTTAAGGTGAAAATTAAAATTAATTTTTAAAGTGATTATTGAAATTAATTTTTAAAGTGATTGTTAAAATTATTTTTTGGAAAATTACACTCCAATTCCAAAACCAAACAGATTAATCGTGAAATTCGATTTGAAATCAAATTAAACTGATTCGATTAGTTGTGAAATTCGTCTTTGTTAAGTCATGTCTTTACCAGTACCACCAACACTGGCTCCACAGCCTCGGCTACCGTTGACCATTCAACAATTTGTGGACATGGGAAAAATTCCCGACTTCGTAAGGGACGTAAAGCCATTTAATGGCAGTCATAGGGAATTAGTCGACTGGCTGTCCGATGTAGACAATATTTATAGTGTATACAAGGAAAATAACGCAACTGACGCCCAAATTAGCATTCTGGAAAGAACCATTCGCAGAAAGGTGTGCGGAGAGGCGGCGGACGTCCTCAATGCAAACAACATCAAGTGTGATTGGGAGGAAATAAAAAACACACTCGTGCTCTATTATAAAAGGTTATACCAACAATCAATACGAAACTAACGATTTTAAATTAGCTCACTACTTGACTAGCCTATTGGTCCCAAGCAAACGATTAACGTACCCCATTCTAGTCGAAATTCTAGTACTACGCAATGTTTGTTTTGATTCGCTATGAAAGTTTGACAGATAAAATGAGGGGTTATTCGTTTTTCCTATGTTTCGAGGGGTGAATCGATTAGCTTGGGACCGAAGAGAGTACCAGAGCTGAGCCAAAAAGTTGAGCTCGTTTCTTCGGGACCTTCTGGTCTTAGAGTTACCTCTATGGTTATACGGTCAAAATTTGGTCAATATCAACTTGACGTATTTCTTTCAATTTTGCATTTAAAAAACCTGAACACCCCTCATTTTGAAGGTGTGTGTGTGTAGAATGTTGCTCCTATTTTGATTTTGGAATTTACTCTTCAGTTGTCAAAATGCCATCCAAGCAAGAAGAGCAGCGTATCAAAATTTTGCTCGCGCATCGCGAAAATCCGAGCTACTCGCACGCAAAGTTGGCAAAATCGCTAAAAGATGCCAAATCAACCGTTACAAATGTAATTAAAGTGTTAAGGGAACGTTTGTCGACAGCCAGGAAGTCTGGATCGGGGGGAAATCGAAAACCGGAAGCCGCTGAGACGACAAAGAGAGTTGCCGGTAGTTTCAAGCGAAACCCTAACCTCTCTCTCCGAGATGCCGCAAATAAGCTGGGTGTATCGTCTACAACCGTGCATCGAGCCAAAAAACGAGCCGGACTATCGACTTACAAGAAGGTAGTGACTCCAAATCGCGATGATAAACAAAATACGACGGCCAAAGCGCGATCCCGGAGGCTGTACACGACGATGCTGACGAAGTTTGACTGCGTGGTAATGCACGACGAAACCTACGTCAAAGCCGACTACAAGCAGCTTCCGGGACAGGAGTTTTATACGGCAAAAGGAAGGGGAAAGGTAGCAGATGTTTTCAAGCACATGAAACTGTCAAAGTTCGCAAAGAAATATCTGGTTTGGCAAGCCATCTGTACCTGTGGCTTGAAAAGCAGCATTTTCATAGCTTCCGGGACTGTCAACCAAGAAATTTACGTGAAAGAGTGTTTGAATAAACGTCTGCTGCCTTTCCTGAAGAAACACGGTTGTTCCGTACGGTAAAAAGGCCATGGAGTGGTACGCCGCCAACAACGTGCAGGTGGTTCCCAAGGACAAGAACCCTCCCAACACGCCAGAGCTCCGCCCAATTGAGAAATACTGGGCTATTGTCAAGCGGAACCTAAAGAAGACCAAAAAACTGCTAAGGGCGAGCAGCAGTTCAAGGCAAACTGGCTTTCTGCGGCGAAGAAGGTGGACAAGGTGGCTGTACAAAATCTGATGGCAGGGGTCAAGCGTAAGGCCCGGCAATTCGGATTTGGAAAAGCGGAAGCCCAACTGAATATTTTTCCTGAATTTTATACTAATTGAACTTGAAAAAGAAATTTAATTTGATTTTTTAAATAAACGATTTCACCGATTTACACGCGTTTTCCCTTGACCAAATTTTGACCGTATCACCCTTTAGAGACAAGCGTGATATAAAGACGCTCGATTATGAGCTGACTTCAATAAAGAAGTCAGCAAATGAGTCTCTCAGTACCTATTATAGTAGGGTGAACGAGCTTTTATCCTACATCATAAACCAGGTACAAACAAACGAAAATATGAGGCCTAACGCCTCCGCCCATATTGATTACTTTAGGGATAAATCCAGATGCTTTCACAAGAGGCCTTGAACGACCTCCGATTATTTTGCTCAAAAGTTCTAACCCGAAAACCCTATCCCAAGCGTACCAATTCTGCATTGAGTACTACAATATGGATTTAAGAGTGACCCCATATAGAAATGAGCTGGGTAATCAACCATTACCCAAGCCAAAAGAAGCGCCGAGAGTGCCTCCTAGAATTCACCCCTCCAATGTGCGACCAAACTTGCCACCTCCACCTCCACCAAGATTTTATAATAACCCACATTCCCATTCAGGCCAAATCGGTGGGCGTTGGCCAGATTTGGATTTTTCAGATATAATCCAAAATAGGACCTAGATTATTTAATACTCTAGTAACCTCAAGTCCGTGCTCTGTCACAATATTTCATTGTGATTAATCAACACTCAAAGGGGTAAAATATCAAATTTGGGGTGAATTTGAAAGAAAGGGAACTTGGAGTGTAGAGCGCACTGCCCACTGGACGATTCTGAAGCCTGGCCAAGTGAGTGGGGTATGGGTTTATTTGATTGAACGTCATTTCCAATGTATATATTGATACATTCAAACCATTGGCATTTGAGATAAGACAGAGATAGGATGCGGAGGGCCCGCTTAGGGGAAGCGTAACCCATGTTATGGTTTCCATTGATTAAATAGTTCAGATAGGCTGGAAATGACAGGTTCATAGTGAGAAAATGTACCATATGGGGCCCGTTCACTGATCAAAATCAGATTCACATCGTCAGACCCTGCCCTAGAATAAGGGGATTGACGATGTCTTGTCAAGTTTTATTTTGAATTTGCGTTTTGCATTTAATACTCTAGTAAATCTCGTGTCCGTGCTCATTCACAACAGTGTGATGTGTCAATACTCACTGGGTTATATGTCTTAGACCAGTTCCAGATTAGTTTGCTATTAATATCTTCTGCATCGCAGTTCGCGATAGATTTCTAAATATGGGTTCTCTTTTCCGACCATAATAGTGTGAGGGAAGGGGGTGAGTTAAACGTTGCGATATGAGAATAGAGGCAAATAAATAGGGAAGACAACACCATGACCCAAATAAGTAACCAATGCATGCGGCTCACACTTAACTTGTTCTATTTCTTTCTTTCTTCCTATCATGTACTAATATTAACTGCCTGAGGACAAATGGGAACACGAGCAGAAGTTCAATAGGAGAAAAGTAACAAGAAAATTCGAACAAGAAAAGAAGAATTAAACTTGCACCGGCAAGAGGAAGCAGACAGAAAGGATCATGCCGGTTGGAGACAGCCAATGTATACTGGACGAAGCTTGTATCTAGGAAAAGCCGTATGTGCAGAAAACCGTAAGTAGGATAAGAATCGTAAAAGGTGTGTGCTTGCTTGATAAGATCCTAACTTTACTTTAAATACACGGTAGGAATCGAATATCCATTTATGATAAAGGTTTTTGCCCATTTTTCAGTGGGAGTGGCAATACTCATTGATGAGTGATTTATCGTACCCATTTATAAGTAACTGTTAGCAACTAATGATTAATTGATTTGCCTATTTTTTAATTACCTATACTTCACATCAGAACCTCATTTCCTTCAATTACTACTCCGTCGCAGCACACACCTTATATGGATCGCTAACCTTTATTTAGTTTCAGCATTTTCGACATTATAATCAAAGGGTGAGTTTTAAAAGTATAATTACCATGCATATAGATAAGTTAATGTACCAGAACCTGGACGGACACGAGCCTACCCAGGGGAGGACCCGGATACGACCACCCATGTGTGTCTAGAGTATCGCACGAGCTGACGAGTGCAATGGGAAGGACAGTAGGTGTATAGACTAGGGGGTTGGTCCCTAGATAAGCCTTCTTAGCGGAAGGCACAGCCTATGCACTGAACAATTACAATTACAATTACCCACATTCCCATTCCGACCAAATCGACCTCAGCAAAATCCTTTCAGAACGAATCCATTCCAACCAAACTATTCTAGACCCATGAATCCACCGCAAAGAGCATTTCCCCCACCAGAACCGATGGAAGTCGATTCTAGTTTAAGAACTCGAAATGTAAACTACGGTAATCGCCCTCCAATCAACATTAAACTTCCAACAACATCAAAATTTCAAGCGACAAGCACATCCACTCGAGAACGGAAATCAAAACCCCGAGGACCACTATGACCATTACTACTACGACGACAATTATTACTATGACGAACAATACTATGACACTGAACAGTACGACCCATACCACCCACCTACTCACGGCACAGAGCAATCTGCAGCGGACAAAAAAGAGCCAGAACCATCTACATCAGGAGGAGCTAATTTTTTAGAATGGCACCCAAAATGGTAACACCAACCATGCCCTACATCAATTTAAAAACAAACATGGGTGATTATCCCTTCCTTATAGATACCGGTGCAAACATCAATCTTATTTACCCTTCATTAGCAAAAAGTTACTCATTGGCAAAGCCATATTATTTCTCAGCAAATAATATCTCAAGTGCCAATGGAAGGTTCAATGCCAATTCAGCAATCGATATTAATTTTTTCAACCCAAAAATAAATCGTACTGCACAGTTCGTACTCCATAATTTCATCCCTTTTTTTATGGAATTATTGGAGCTGGCATACTAACTGCACTGAATGCAAAAATCGACCTCGGAACAGTGCTGAGATTTGTCATTGTCATTGACAGACTTTCGCGCGATATTGACAAAATTGTTCGTCACATAGTCACTGACAGACTTGATCCTCAAAAAAACCTTCGTCAAAATCTCATTCATTTTTTCGTCAGTGACAAAGATTCACCTGGTAACAAAAAGTGTTATTTAGTACATTCTGTGTCACATTATTGTTATCCAAGTAGCTCAGGACGTGGATACTTGTTCACTAAAATGGATCCATGTAATTGTTTTGCTCAAGTCATTTAATTTTGTTACAAATTTAGCTAATAAACAAATCTGCACATGTTCGTCACTGACACCATTGTCATTGACAATTGACATGGTTTGCCTTGACTATGACTGTTAGCTAAAATGAGTGACCAAAGCAGAATTGTCAATATCACCGTGTACTGTCGAGATTTTGCAGCACTGCCTCGGAAACAACCCTCTGAATTTATGTAAAGGGAACGAATTTTTATGCGTCCCACTAAAGCAATATTCGCCTGAGCAGTCAACTGTAAAAACAATAAATAATATCAACCAACAAACAGAGCCTCAATTCGACTCAACCCAGCATACATACAGAACGACTCATCTTTCACCACTGGAGAAATGGAAGCTTCTAAACATTTTAAATAAACATGAGCAAGCATTTTATAAACCCAACTTAAAACTGACTTGCACCACAGTTGTTGAATGTGCTGTGGATGAGATTCCAGTCCATCAGAAAGTTTACCCCTATCCAGCAGCTTATGTTGAAGAGGTAAACAATCAGATAGACAAACTTCTTCAAGATAAAATTATAAGGCCATCTCGATCAGCTTGGACGTCTCCTGTTTGGATCGTTCCAAAAAAATCGGATGCGTCGGGAGAGAAAAAATTTCGAATGGTCATTGATTATCGTAAACTCAATGAAAAAACGATTTCAGATCATTATCCCATGCCAGAAATTAATTATGTACTGGACCAACTGAAAGGCCAAAAATATTTTACTACTCTGGACTTGGCATCTGGATTTCACCAGATAAAAATGAAAGAGACCGATATCCCGAAAACCGCTTTTTCCATCAACAATGGCAAACTTGAATTCACAAGAATGCCATTTGGGCTGAAAAACGCTCCAGCCATTTTTCAAAGAGCGATAGATGACGTACTTCGTCAATATATTGGCAAGATTTGCTATGTTTACATTGACGATGTAATCGTATTTGGCAGAACCTTCGAAGAAGCCTTGAAAAATTTAGAAACGATAATCAAGGCATTGGATGATGCAAATCTTAAGATTCAGCTCGATAAATCTGAATTTTTGCATCATGAAATTGAATTTCTCGGCTATATCATCGGGTCAGAAGGCATACAACCAAACCCTAAAAAAATTGAATCTATACAGAAATATCCACCTCCCAAAACAATTAAGGAGCTGCGATCTTTCCTCGGAATGATGATTCGTGAAAGATTTTGCGAAAATCGCTAAACCCCTCACGAACCTTCTAAGGGGGGAGAGGAACATTAGTTCATCCAAAAAAATAACTCTTAATGAAACCGAAACAAATTGCTTTGAAAAAATGAAAACGCTACTATCTTCAACCGATGTGTTAATATATCCGGATCATACTAAACCATATATACTGACAACAGATGCCTCAGATTTTGCGATAGGTGCTGTTCTTTCACAAGGCGAAATAGGAAAAGACAGACCAATCCATTTTGCCTCACGGTCTTTAACAAGAGCGGAAGAAAAGCACTCGGTACCCGAGAAGGAAATGTTGGCAATATTCTGGGCTCTGAAAACTTTTCGAAACTATTTGTACGGATCAAAATTCAAAATTTTTACTGATCACCAACCACTAACTTTTGCATTGTCTCCCAAGAACACAAATGCAAAACTCAAAAATATGAAATCATACCTCATACCGATTACGAAATCATTTACAAGCCTGGTAAATCCAATGTAGTCGCCGACGCTCTCAGTCGTATCGTATGCTCTATGACTGGAACACAGCATTCAGCTGACGATAGTGACGACATGTACATTATATCCACGGAAGCACCAATTAATGCATTTCAGCATCAAATAATAATAAAAAGGGGTCAAGACAAAGTAGAAATCACACACCCCTTTCCAAACTATACAAGAATTAACATTTTGATGAAAGACATGAATGAAAATTCTATTTTTCAGGTTTTAAAGGAACACGTAAATGTATCTAAGTTAAACGGATTATTAACAGAAGAAAACATCATGGGCCAAATTCAAGAAGTATATAAAAAACATTTTGGTCGACAAAATATGTTAAAAATCCGTTTCACTCAGAAAATGCTCATCGATATACCGGACGAGCATGTACAATGGGAAATTATCGAAAAAGAGCACTATCGAGCTCATCGTGGCCTAGAAGAGAACAAAGCCCAAATCCTCAGGAAATTTTATTTCCCACAATTGAATAGCAAACTTCGCGAATTCACGAAGAATTGCCAATTGTGCCATGAGAACAAATATGATAGAAACCCCATCCACCATCCCCTTCAAAAAACATCTATTCCTAACGGACCATTCCAAATCGTACATATCGACATCATGTTCTTAGAAAAATTAATATTCCTTACGTATGTCGATAAATTTTCCAAATTCGCTCAAGGTCGTCTAGTAGAATCGAGAGCAGCTGTAGATCTTGTACCTGCAGTGAAAGAAGTATTATCTAAATATAAATTACCGGAGACTGTCGTAATGGATAATGAAAAATCCTTTTTGACAGGCGAACTGGTGAATTTCTTCAATGAAAATAAAATTACCTCTTACATAGCAGCTACAGGTCGAAGCAAGATGAACGGAGTGGTTGAAAGGTTCCATTCTACCTTGCAAGAGATTTATCGTATTACTAAGGCAGAACATCCTAATAAAAAACCGGAACAACTTGTCGAAATGTCGTTGATTAAATACAATTCTTCTATCCATTCATGTACAAAGTACACTCCCTTTGAAATAATTATCCCTAGTTCCCAAAGTTTGATCATAACCAAAACTGTCTACAAAAACCTACTGAAAAAACAGACTCAAGATCTCAAATATCATAACAAAAAATTGACTCCACGATCCATAGATCAGAACAAAGATGCCTATGAAAAAACAAGACGACGACTAAAAACGGTACCCCGGTATAAAAAGATTAAAATTACAAAAATTCATAATAGCACAATAACCACATCAGACAATAGACGTGTACACAAAAATGACATAAAGATTCGCCATGACTAATAAAATTTCATTTTATTTTTAGATTTATAGTGCCACTAGTTTTTGGATTTGGTACTACTCAGACGATCTCAGTACACAAAGCAGACGACCTACCCCTTTTCTTATATAGCAGAGGACATGGACGAATACAAACCGACTATCATTATTACATCCATCATTTCAACTTAGAATCAGATTTGCTAGATTTAAAATCAAAATTCAAACAAGTAGAAGCGAATCAGTTCACCATTCTTATCCTAAATAAATTCAATGAGTTAGATTCAATCTTAAAAAATCTTTTGCCAATTAAAAGAAGGAAAAGATGGAACAGCTTAGGAACAGTTTGGAAGTATTTAGCGGGAAGTCCCGACGCTAACGATCTTAAAATCATCAATAGTTCGATTAATGGTCTCATTACCAATAACAATGAACAGGTTAGAATTAACAGGGAAATCTCATTACAAATGAAAGAAGCACTGTTCAAAATTAAAGAATCCAATCAATTGTTCAACTCAAAATCATCCGAATTGTATTCTATAAACATATTTTTGAACCTTAATTTTCTAAACGAGAAATTATATCAAATTATACAAACAGTAACATTAGCAAAAGCAGGGATACTTAATGAAAAAGTGTTAAGTCAGGCCGAAATTGATTTACTAGTTAAGGATTTACGCAAGGAGAATCTGACCGTTTGGAACATCGCTGAAGCACTAACCTACGTCACCACATCTATAGTCACCAACGAACTCGATATCGCACTTCTACTCAAGCTACCGAAGTTGGATCCCAGGGTCTTCAAGAAAATTTATGTTTTACCAATATGGTTCCTTCGTCAACAACTTCATATTTCCAATAGTAATTACGGAAACGAGTATTACACCGTTAGTAGCCTACAGCCAACGATTTTCAATTCCAAGGACATAACACTGGATTCTACGGCGTGTGTACCAAACCTGCTAAACGGGAAAACAGTCAAATGTGATTATTTAGCCAATCCGGTGGAAGAGATCGTGTCGACTGATAACCAACACCTCATCACGAATATATTTGGAAAATTTATCATGCATTCCAACTGCGGTCCATTTGAAAGGAACCTGTCAAGGACTTACCTAATTTCGTTCAACAATTGTGAAGTAACTATTAACAATCAAACGTTTTCAAACTATAACCAGAGCATCACAGGTGAACCTATTTACTTACCGCTGTATGGTATTCCTATCGAAAAACAACATACCGTTGTTAATCTGAGCCTACATCATCTGCATAATCTACACCTGGAGGCAAGGAAAGAGATGGAGGAAATCCGTCTAAACACCACCAGCATTCAATGACCACATTGGACATTTTTTGGAGGATTTTCAATCACTCCTTTTATCATATGTACTGTTTTCTTATTGTTTTCTTTACGTCGTAGAAGATCAAAGGTTGAAGTCCAAGTACACCAACAAGAGCAGACCCAAGAGCAGACCCAGGAGCAGACCCTAGATGAAGGAAGGAGATTCCAAATTTTACCATTTAGTAAAATTGTTTGTACGGAGCCTCACACTTAGGGGGTCTAGTTAACAACCCCACATAACAACGACGCGATATGCTGACGATGGCATCGTTCATGTGGAATATCGTACACCGCCGTTGGCAACAACGATGGTGATATCGACGGAGGATTGTTTATGAGTAGACTCGACCGCACGTTTGTAGGAGCTGAGTAAGCACATGTCATATGTAGCTAAAATCATTTACGCCACTGTAAGAATTGAAATTACTAAATTTGCCGATAAGACAGAAAAATGCATATCATGCAGTTGCACTCACGTCAGTAGCGTTCACTTCTTCATAGCCTTGCCAAACAGAATTATTAATTTACCTTTCCTACACCCAGAACGCGCGGATCATGTTACATCTTTCAATACGCTAATAGCCTAGCAAGCACATTGACATCAATGAAACAAACATAGAATTGTCACACCGTTATAGGCATCTCACTTTGCCTACAGTAATTAAATATAAATCACATCATTTCAATGCAACAAATTGTAAAATGTATTTTGACAATAACTCCGTATATAAACCCAAGCAGTTGATTAATAAAGCCAGTTACTTTCGATCAAAGAATCACTTTGGATTGCGATCTTCTCCTGCCCAACTTGGGATACACAGGTTTGGACACCGCTAAAAGGAAAAGAAATTCCCCAAGGTTCTGCGATCCTCTTCTGCCCTCTGGGATAAACAGATGAGGACACCGCATCCATTCCTTGATTATGCCGCGAGCCTGCATACTTGTAAAAAGGCATAATACACATCGACGAGCAGAGGACCATAATGTAATTTTAATATAGCAATAAAATCAGTTCTAGTTTAGCAGTAACGAGGTGTAGACCTTTTTTAAAAAGAATTCCCGCTGGCGAATTATTTAACTCGAGCAAGAGGGAAACAGATTAGTGGGAAAACAAACCGTTCATTCATCCATGTGTGCTAGATAGAGAAAGACGATTAAACGTCAAAAAGGTCTATATCAGGTTGGTATCGTTTGCCCAGTGGGTTTCACCGCAAGTGTTATACAAATTTACTTGAATGCTCGATCACATGGTGCACATTTAAAATATTGTATTGGCCCGGTTACATGCTGCACGGTTCAGGATGATGTACTGGTCTACAACCACCGCAAACAATATTTCCGGCAATGACAATGAAGCAGATGAACTGGCAGGATTAAGGTGATACGGCACGTCATGCAACAATGGCTGTCCCTACAATCATTAAATACACGTGTTTTAGTATGCGTACGAAAGACATCTTCCTACAAAACAGTAAATTACTAATTACATACCTTAAAAAATGGGCCTGAATTGTATGAATAAGATCTGAATACACTTTTCAATACTTTTCCATCAAAATATTGCCAATTCATTCACGCATTGGTTATATTTGCATTAAAAAGTACGATCAGCCAATTTTTTTCTGCTCAGGGCATGAAATTTCAATAACTGTTTACTAGCTTTCACTTCTCAGAACCACACTAAAAACAATTACGACACGTGCTTCTACAAGCACTTTCAAGTTAATTCACGATATTTACTTAAATAATATCATTTGCATCGTTAAAAACGCGAGCCGCGAATAATTTCGCAAGCTGAAACTGTTTTGTTTAACTTTTTTTCTACACCCCGCATTACGAAGGTGTGTGAATGAATCACCTATCATCGTATCCAGTGTTGTCGATTTAATTGAAACAAAGTGTATAAAACTAAAAACAATGCTTTTATTGCTTTTTAAGGTGCTTAAAATGTGTTCAATTAGAAACCATCAATAATAAATGTTTAAAATAATTTCTTATTTTGTTTCTCAATACAAAAAATGAAAGTAAATGAACCTAGAAATCTTCTATAGAAAACATATGTATCGTTATGGTTACACTGCTCGAAGCCATCAGCTGATATGCAAAAGGCGACAAAAGGATGATTAAAAAACAAAAACATACACGATAAGAAAAAATATCCAGCGGCCAGTTCATGTTTGCCTACTTTTGACTTTGAGTATAATCATATTCACCTACTTTTGGGTACAACTAACTATTTTTGGGTAGAAGCGAATTGTCAATTCCACACTAATTGAACACAATTAAATGAAAACTCTTCGACCCACATTGCCTACATTTGGCTTCCTGCAATATAGTGCCGAGATTTGGGAAAATGAATCACTTTGGGATCTTTTTTCTTACCGTGTACCTGGAGGTTTGAGCTCTGGAATCACTTTTGGACAGGTCGTATGTGTTGGCTCGACTGCCAACGTGAAATTTGACTTGAAACTGAAACGGCTGCTCGTTGGCCCTTGCCAACAGATGACGACAAAATCCAGCTGCACCAGCTGCGAGCCGACATCGCTTACTCGGAATCGGTAGTTCTTAAAAGAGCACCGCGAAAATAAACTCTTTTTAGAGCAGCGACGGCAACAAGCAGCGGTGGGAACAGCAACTCTCCATTTCGGTAGTAGAGGGAACAGGAACTCCACTGAGCAGGACCACCGACAAAACTGGAACGGTAACAGGGACCCCTTGCATCGATATCGAATCGACGGGAAAACTGGAATGTTCTTTCTTAGAAGGATAACTTCAGCTTCTTCACTTTATATCTATATTGCTTGGCAATTAATCATGTTTTGCTGTTTTTGACATCATCCACATCCAGAGGGCCAGTCATTTTCGAATGTATGGGAATGGTAGGAAACCATTTGGAAATGCATGACAATTTTAAGTTTTTATTCTTTATCGCCTTTATGGGCAGTTTTAGATGCACAAAAATTGCACGAGTACATTACTATGGTGATAACGTAAACACTCGTTTATTTGTTTCCTTCTGTGGAAGCATGTTTAGTCACAAATCGTGGATTTTCTGATATTCTCCATACTGCAAAAGTGATTTTCCTACCACTTAAGGCTACTACTCAAATCATATAATTAATTCGGAAACGACTGACAATGTGAATGCGTGATTCGCTTGGTTTTATACTTTTTTGAATCAAAGAGAAATTAAATGACGATGATGATTGGTCTAACAATCTACTACGCAAAACGAAATGAACATGTACAATGTCATAAAAGCTAGTTTCTGATTGGATGTTTACACTTATTTCTGTTATTATTGCTAGTGTTAGTAAGGGAAGCCGTTTGCCCGCGGCCTTCTCTTTCATTTTTTGTATTGAGAAACAAAACAAAATGCAAGGATAGGGAAATATTTCTGCTATGCTGATTCCTGCGGCTAACATCGCAAACGTAGAGGGTTAGCGGCGGCGGTGTAATCGATACACCAACCGGTGAACACTCGTGTTTATTTCAGTTACCGTGGGGACGTAATTTGTGATTAGTCCCGGTCCCTTTCAAATTGTATCATTATTTATGTACGGTCCTTATATTTGAAATGACGTTTCACATTCATCTAGTGATGGCCGATTTTCATTCGAATGATCGAATAATCGATTAACGAACCGAAAAGTAAAATATTTGTAATCGGTTATATCATGCCGACATAAGCATTAACTTCTCCAGAGGATCATCACAGATCGTTTCAAACATGTGCTGCACTCTCATTGGTGGAAAAATGACATCACAGCGAACAAAAAATAATCGATTAGTTGTTAATCGAATAATCGAAAAAATGGGACATCTCTGATTTTGGTGTGATTGTTTTGATAAAAAAGCGCGCAAAATTTCATCTGTACTGAGGGGGCAGCAAAACCACAAAATAACCTTGCATACTGGGGGTATTCATTGGATGAAAGGGACCGTGAAAGAGGAAACTAAAATTGAAAGTTTTTCTTCCGACAGTTTCATCTTAGTATTTATCTTTGGATACACGGCAGTGGTACCAATCTATTCGCTGTACAAAGTGTGATGTTGAATCAATTATTACTATTTTCTGTACAGGAAGGGGTGTCCTGGGAGGTGGTAGGTTGATAATATTGGCAAATTGAATAGAAATGTAGTGATAGTCTCAATATTGGATGATAAAGAGATATCTTTATCTCTTGAAAAATGACGAAGGTTGAAATTTACAGTAAGATGGACATAACTTATTCTTTACCTTTCTAATTTTTTACTAACTGTTACACATTCGACCTAATAATAACGAACTCTAGCAGCTATGTTTACGGTAGTTGCGGTAGTGCATGATGTACACTCACACCACTACAGCATCAATGATAATCAATTCACTGACACATAGAAAGGAAATAAAAAAAGTTGGATGGTGGTGTACAAGACACGACCGCAATGTTGACGTAGGACTTTGAACCTGAAGTTTGAACCTCCGAAACCGTACAAAGTGTGTCCCTGTCGCTTCAGAGCGTATATGACATCCATGGCCGTGAAAGTTTTGCGCTTGGCGTGTTCAGTGTAGGTGACGGCATCACGGATCATATTTTCTAGGAACACCTTCAGCACACCTCGGGTACGCTTGACACCACCACGTCGAGCCAGACGACGGATGGCAGGCTTGGTTATACCCTGGATGTTGTCACGCAGAACCTTCCGATGACGCTTGGCGCCTCCTTTTCCAAGGCCTTTGCCACCCTTGCCACGACCAGTCATTGATGCTTGTTGTTGCCCCGACTTGACTAGCCTATTGGTCCCAAGCAAACGATTAACGTACCCCATTCTAGTCGAAATTCTACTACTATTTACACAATGTTTGTTCTGATTCGCTATGAAAGTTTGACAGAGAAAATGAGGGGTTAGTGGATTTTCCTATGTTTCGAGGGATGAATCGATTAGCTTGGGACCGAAGAGAGTACCAGAGCTGAGCCAAAAAGTTGAGCAAGTTATTTCAGGACCTTCTAGCCTTAGAGTTACCTCTATGGTACCATCTAGCGCAATATTGCACACAGGAAGGCAGGAATGTGGAACACCCATGATCAATGTTCAAGGATTTTCTTTCCAAGGAATCGTTCAGCTTAGCTTGCATCTATCTTTTATTTCTCATGATGCTATAAAGTCTATCTTTATGTTCCATAGACTGAAGCCAAAACGAAAGTATAGGAAGGTAGTTATATGGATTACATAGATATTTAAACCACTGTAGGTTTTATGTGGATATTCACCAGGATTTGTTGTACAATTGCCTAAGGATTAAAATGCACTCATCATTTCATTGTTGGAGACATTCGCAAGTAGGAAACAATCATTAATGTTTGATTATTAGCTGCAGTTTTGGTACCTACCAGATGTTTCTGCGATTTTGCGTTTTTGTAAGATATTTTTTTATTTTTCGAATAATTTAAGCACGGTTCTCTGTTTTTGTCAATGTAAATTCATCCAGTTTGTAATTTTGGGCGAAGACAGTAGCAGCTACAATAAACTGCCTAAATTCATTTTAAAATATCGTCTCGTCAATGGCTTCATTCTGTTCGTAATATCCGTGCTTGCTGCCCTGGGGTCGATCTAACATTGAAGTAGTAGTAACATTGCTGGTGGAAAAATATTAGTCGGATGGCACCTTCATGTTTCTAGCAAGCATTTCTCGATTACTTTTTCGAAAGGACGTATTCTACTTTTGTAATAATCTAACACCAATATCAGGAAGGTTCCCCTACTCGATAGTGGCGTTAGTATGTGTGGTCGAGCTACCAGTTACACCAAATCGACGATCAAATGCATATGCATTGTTTACAAAAGTGGATACGTCAGTTCGAAAAAGTAATCGAGATTTGAAACAATACCAGAATGTATCCACATTGTTGCCTGATTTTTTGACAGTTTTTGTACTGTAACTGAAAAAAATGATAAGTAATCATCAAATATTATTGCATATATGGGAAGTGTGATAATTTTTCTATAAGAATTGATCAAAAGATTATGATTTGAGTAGCTTAAAATGATTTGGTGAGCGATTACCGTTACAACGTTTTCCACTTCTCAACAGAGATACCAGATTTTTTTTTCAGAAGTCTGTGTCTGTGAATTTCAGAAATAGTCTGTAATTTAAATAACCAAAAAAAAATAACCAAAAGTTAAAATAATCCGCCAAATGGTTTTGCACGCCAGCAGTGGGGGAACGAGCACATCTAAATATGAACGAGCTCCACCTAAATATGAAGAAATCGACACTAAAAAGAGCAATTTATAAGCTAATTAGCTGAGTGTGCCTACAAAATGGTGAGTTGACAACCTGGAAGGAGCGGAATACCTAGCTCTGATCCTCACAAGTTCCTACTTCACGCCTCCTCGAGTCATATGATAACAAAAGACTACTAGCTGAAACATGGACACAGCTGGGTGGCGTAGCTTGGACAATGTTGCCAGTCCGGCAATAGCAAAGTGAAGAGGTGCGACGCGAACACTGGCGCGGTAACCATAGTACGGTGATAGAGGAAATGCTTCACCAAACCCGAGCGTCTGTTCACCATGGAGGTGTGGCTCAAAACGGCGTCTGTTCTCCATGTTAGGAGCGGCTGATCACCGTCCTAGTGCCAGCGTGGGACTCTAAACAGAGCTGTGCACGATGGTCCCCCGGCGAGACAGGGGGTTGGGGCAGGCCCAACAAACCGCCCTGGGAAAAAAACAAAGTTGCAAATACCGAAGAAAGAAATACGGATCGGAACAATCGGCACAGACCTACACGACGAAATAAGGACTACGATTGGAAACTCGGAACATGGAACTGCAAATCGCTCGCCTTCCCGGGTTGCGATAGGTTAATCTATGACGAACTTCAACCACGCAACTTCGAAGTCGTAGCACTGCAGGAACTTTGCTGGACGGGACAAAAGGTATGCAAAAGCGGGCATCGAGCGGCTACTTTCTACCAGAGCTGTGGCACCACCAACGAGCTGGGAACCGGCTTTGTAGTGCTGGGTAAGATGCGCCAACGCGTGATTGGTTGGCAGCCGATCAACGCGAGGATGTGCAAGTTGAGGATTAAGGGCCGTTTCTTCAATACAGCATCATCAACGTGCACTGCCCACACGAAGGGAGACCCGACGACGAGAAAGAAGCGTTCTATGCGCAGCTGGAGTAGGTGTACGACGGCTGTTTGCAACGGGACGTCAAAATCGTCATCGGCGACATGAACGCTCAGGTAGGACGGGAGGCAATGTATAGACCGGCAATCGGGCCAAACAGCCTGCATGCCGTATCGAACGACAACGGCCAACGATGCGTGAACTTTGCCGCCTCCTGGGCTATGGTAGTTCGAAGTACCTTTTTCCCCCGCAAGGATATCCACAAAGCCACCTGGAGATCTAGATTCGGACCACTACCTAGTTGCAGTATGCATGCGCTCAAAACTCTCGACGGTGCATAACACACGGCGAAGTCGAACGCCGCGACCCAGCAATTACGGGACGCCGGAGCTGCCCAGGACTACGCGCAGCAGCTGGAAGTTGCACTAACCACGGAAGAGCAGCTTGGTGCAGCTTCTCTTGAAGATGGCTGGAGGGACATCCGTTCAGCCATAGGTAGTACTGCTGCAGCGGCACTAGGTACTGCAATCCCGGACCGAAGAAATGACTGGTTTGACGGCGAATGCAAACTGTTAGTAGAGGAGAAGAATGCAGCACGGGCGAGAATGCTGCAACACCGCACGAGATTGAATGTGGAGCGATACAGACAAGCGCGGAACAGACAAAACTCGGTTTTCCGAAGGAAGAGATCGCGAGGCGATGGAAAATCTTTACCACGTAAACGACACACGGAAGTTCTACTAGAAGCTAAATAGATCGCGCAAAGGCTACGTGCCGCAAGCCGATATGTGCAAGGACTTGGACGGTAACCTTCTCACGAACGAGTGTGAGGTGATTGAGAGGTGGAAGCAGTACTATGACGAGCACCTCAACGGTGAAGCAGCAGAAAACGAAGGTGGCACGGCAACAGACCTTGGAGCACGCGCAGCAGACGACAGGCTACCGGCCCCTGATCTTCAAGAAGTTGAGGAGGAGATCAGTCGGCTGAAGAACAACAAAGCAACTGGTGTAGATCAACTACCAAGTGAGCTATTAAAATACGGTGGTGAAGCACTGGCTAGAGCGCTGCATTGGGTAATTGCCAAGATTTGGGAGGAGGAGATATTACCGGAGGAGTGGATGGAAGGTGTCGTATGCCCAATCTACAAAAAGGGCGATAAGTTGGATTGCTGCAACTACCGCGCGATCACACTGCTAAGCGCCGCCTACAAGGTACTCTCCCAAATTCTATGCCGCCGTCTGTCACCATTCCGCGATTAAAGTTGAATTAAGGTTCAATTTACTTTGAAAGAATTGATAAAAATTCTAAAGCAGTTTTTTTCGACGCATTATTTTAGATTGCAAAAAACTCGCGTCATTTTACGTAAAATATCAAAAGGAATCGAATAGTGCGAGCTTTTTGCAATCTTAAATAATGCGTCGGAAAAAACTGCTTTTGAAATTTTCCAAAAAGCATCAAAGTAAATTGAACCTTAAACAAACGGAAAGTAGCCCACGAAAGTAAATTTGCTAAATACGAAACACCTAAAACGTTAGATGAAAATGATCAAAAACTCATTAAAATCAATCAAAGACAAACTAAAGATCGAGACCCATATAAAACGGTAACCTTTAAATCAAATAATGAATTCACTTTCATTGATGAAAACGACATTAAAATCCATAAAAACCGAATTTAAAATTAGATAACTAAAAACTAAACCAAATAAATCATCATTTTTAATTGCAGAATCTTCTTCACCGGACTTATTAACGCTACAACATATAAAGAAATACCCAATAGCAATGGGCTAGTAACTTTCAAAATTAAACTAGCAAGAATCAAGATTGGATTTGGTAGGACTTTGTACAAGATTAACATCAGTTCATTGGAGGACAGCATAAATTATATAGAAAAAATTACTCAATCATTCAAAACTATCGAACATTTGGAATTAACCCTGCTAGATAAAATCAGGATAGCTAAAGGAAAAGTCACAAGTTTAAATGGACATAGAACTAAAAGAGCCTTAATAAACGCATTAGGATCCGCCATCAAAATCATTGCAGGGAACCCTGATAATGACGATCTAGAAATTATACACAGGAGTTTAGGAGAGTTAGAAACACAGGAAAATAAATTAGTTCACAAACAAGCTCAACAGATTCATATAAATGAACTCTTTAAGGTGATACTCTAAGGAAGCCTTAGCGTGAAACTTTAAAGGCACAAATGTCAGTTTCCACAAAACATACAAATTTGAAATTGCTACTCCTTGTTTGCTGTGCTACTACAAACAGAGGGTAGCAAGTTCAAATTTGTATGTTTTGTGGAAGCTGACATTTGTGCCTTTGAAGTTTCACGCTGAGGCTTCCTTAGAGTATCACCTTAAAGAAAAGATAAATAATATTACAGATTCAATTAAAAAGATTAGCTCCACAATTTCCAAAGAATATAATTCAGTACAAAGTCTCAGATCAGATTTAGAATTTATCAATCTTATCTTCAATGTAGATAAAATTATTCACATTCTTGAGAATATTGAAGAACAAATAGAGTTTTCAAGAATAGGGTTAGTAAATAAAAATATTCTTTCAGTAGAAGATAAAACCATAATTTTCGAAAAACTTGCAAACCAGGGACTAAAATTGAATTATTTAGACGAAATTTTTAAATTCAGCACAGCTAGTATCGGCATTAAAGGAGGACAAGCTGCTATACTCATCAAAACTCCAATCCTAGACGAAAGGGCATACGACCTTCTGGAACTCCACACTCTGAAGGTCAACGACACACGGATAGATACTCACATTAACCTAGTGGCAAAGCATGGTAATCTGATTTATTCTCAGACAACTAAGGGCGATATATGCGAGAATAGCAAGTTAGTCGAAGACGAATGCGTCTATAAAATTTTAACCCATCAAATGCCGACTTGTCCGTTTGTGAGAACAAAGGAAACATTACAAGTCAATGATATCACAGAAGGCATTATTTTAGTAGACACTACCGAAGATATAGAGATCGAAAACTCTTGCGGAAACTCGAGGATGGTTCGCGAAACTACAATAGTAGAAACGGGAAATTGCACTATTAGAATTCGCAACCTCACGTTCTCTGGTAAGCCTACAGCCTGGTAACCTCTACAAGCAACAAACTACAGAGATTTCGCTTATTGAGAGAATTATATAGTAATCGAGTACAACAAACTCAGGGGAATACAATACCTCCAAAAGTTTAAAAGCTATTAATTGTCAGATACCTCTACTTTTACTTATTTCCTAAACTGTTCCTCTCCTTGTTAATCTTCTAAATGCTATTGGTCTGCCTGCGTTTTCTTTTTTAAGTTCAAGGCTAAATAAGACGATTTATTCTACAACTTTAAAGGTTAGTTGCCTCCCTAAGCGGACCCCCGCATCCTAATTCTTTTGTTAATCTACTTAATGTCATTAGACTTTCTGAAGTTTCTTATTTAAGTTCATTTGATGATTATGATACCTCATTAGTCTAATTTAATAAATTATTAAAAGCTCTAATTCACCTAATCAAGCATAACCCATGCTTTATTAAGTACCTGCACTTGTGCTTGTAATCTAAAATTAAACGTGTTTCAAGTACTTTTGATTTTGACCTATACCTATTTATTATATCTTAGTTCGACCCAGGTGACACCCTCAAGTGACTAAAATGCTTCATTTTGAAGTTAGTTTCCTAGCTGATTTTAAATTATATAGGGTATATGCTCCAACTACGCTCACACGTTTCCACTATGTCGTCCCACAAAATTACGTATGGATATATCACAATAGAAGCACGCAACAGTGGAAAT